AAATTTAGTTGCATTCTTTTGGTTATATATATAGTGTTGAGTTACTGTTGAATAGTAATTTGATTGTAGTTTTTTTATTGATGGCCTCCCTTCTGCCCTTATAGCCATCCTCTCCACACCATTATTATAAAATGTTTTTTATATAATAGAAGAAAAAGAAAGAGAAAGAAAAAAGTGAAATGTAATGAGACAGAGTGAAAAAGAGATTAGAAGATATGTAAAATRTATGTTGAGAAAACACAAGACAGTCAAGTTTTTTTCAAGAAAAATAAAATTTGATTGTAGTTACCCAATAAAGGTAGTTTTATTAACAGTAGTTTTTCTTTTGTTCCATAATTACCACATAATTACATGGTAATAAGGTAGTAATTCCATTTAATTTTTCGATTACTTTTTTATTACCTTGTAATTACATCATAATGAGTGTACCGTAAAAGAAAGCGTTACCAACAATCTTTTGCTCAATATGTCAAATTGGCTGATTTGAACCCATTTTTGCGTTTTCAAACATCAGCTGGATTTGGAAGCCATTTTGAATTGGGTTGACTCAATGACTACTTTCCAAAAGTTTTATTGAATGAGACATATCAGGCTTTTAAATCCTTCCTTTTCAATTTAAATCCTTCAGATGGGGTCCAAATAAAGTAGAACTACAATGTTTTGGCATGAATACCTTCTTATTGTAACTCCACAAGCCCCTCTTTCACCTCTTTTTCTGAGGTGTGTCTCAGATCAACTCGTTTTGAGGCTGTCTCTTTAAAACCAAACGAGCCGCTTCACCCCCCACCCCCAGTGGTCCATTGTTCTTTTAGAGAGGGGTTTACGACTATATAGAAGCACAAAAATAGCTGGTAAGTCCAGAACTTTTTTGGCAATGAAGTCGCAAATAATTTGATGCAATAGTTCAGAAAGTGTCAGAAAATAGAGAAAACTGAACGGGCTGAAAACTATGACCCAAATAGAATATAAAGATATCTACACTCCTAGACCCCAAGTACACAACAAAATGTATTTAATGGCTTAAAAAAGTGAATTCTGCATTTGCTTTCATTAGTTTGACATGATTGAATTCAACACATCTGATAAATAAAAGAAAATGATCAGATTAGCACCAGGCCTCTAATTCCCAGCGACGTCTCCGATCTTCTGACCGTACCGTATTCCCTGACGATGCAGCGTGCGGTGGAATTGGCTCCCGTGCGATCTGTCACAGTCACAGAATACTCGCCGCTGTCTGCTCGGCCGTATCCGTTAATCTGAAGTGTCGCCTCCCGCATCTCCGTGTTCGCGTAGACGTTTGGCCTCGTACCAGCGCACTTCAGGCTGCCGCCCGAGCATGTGGCCAGCGTCACCGGATCAAATCCAGTTTCAGGCTCCCGTTCCCAGGTTACCATGGAGATCTCTTCCCGGGGATCCATCTTGATCCGGGCTTTGAGGTCCAGCCTGGAGCCAGGGATTACATGCACAGGCTGCTCGTTGGTGATGTGCACCAACATGCACCACAATCCGCACGGCGCTGAGGACACAGATTGTTCTGTTAGTTTTAAACACGTCGTCCATATATATGTTCAACATGCATGTTCTGATTCACAGCACACGGCTACTTCCTGTCAAATAACGCCAAGTGATGATTGATGGGGCATGTCAGCGGTGCCTAATGTGATATTCATCAAACCACATCAATATCCTCAAGTCTGTGTCAAAGCCTGCTAAGCTTGTGTGCATGTACCACAAGAGCTATTAATTATGTGTCTTAAGTTGATTGGTGGAGCACGGAGGAAGTGTAAATAATGCAAGTGTGGTTTTTATTGCAAGAGGCAGTTTACCAGAAGATTTCTGTGTTGACGTAAGAGTGCAACATCTGAAGGCTGGTGCCTGTGTGTGTTCTGACAGGACGAAAGTGTGTTGCTGTCTGTTTCTGCCCTTGTCAGCGTGTGTTTGTGTGCTCATACAAAACAGCTCATGAATCACCAAAAGGATTTTAAAGAAACTTTTTGAAAGTTACCATTGGGTCGACGTCTACGACTGATTAGCTTTTAGAGTCAACTTAATTCAAGACGGCCACCACAGYAAAACTGTTAGGAAACACAAGAATGGCTCTAACTCAGTCAGTTTTAAAGATGCCGAGATACAATTTGGTGTGGTACTAGCTGAGACTGATACACACAGAAAATAGAGCATTAGTGACGAACACATTTTTATTATTTAGCTCACTTTCTAAGTGTAAAATTATTTAGCTCATTGCTTTTATGTTTTACTATTTTTTTACATAATTTCAAATTTAAATGTTAGCAGCGTTAGATGTCATCATCCTGAGACAAAAAACAAATGCCAACGCCACTGAAGACGACATTTAAAATTTAAATTCAAAACGTGTTAACTGAAAACAAAATGGATGGAAACTGTGGTCCGGGAGTTTTAAGTGCAGCTCAGACACAGGCTACAACTGTTTAATGTCTTATAGGGAAGCTAGTGTTGTAGTCAAGATCACCTAACCCGGTGTATCGAGACCGAGACAAGACCAAGACTTTTAGGGCCTGGACCAAGTCAAGACCAAGACCAAGGAAGGGCAAGACTGAGTCAAGACCAAGACCAGAAAAAAAACCACAACAACAAATAAAGAAAAACTAGAATATTCTGTACACGTGTAACTTAATACATCTAATATTGACAAAATCTTTGTGTGATGGCAGAGGAAAGGATTTTGCTTCAGAGGCAGATTGTGACGATAAAAGTTTAACATTGTCCCCACCGTCTCTGAAAGTGAAGCACCGTATAATTTACAAGTTGCTATACGTTTTCCCTTGGTTGTTATTTTACAACGATATTACAATTTATGTAACAAAATTGTTTTACTGAAAATAACAAAAACAAAAATACATAAATACCAATGAGTCAGGTTTGGATTTGAATCATTAGCTACATTTTAAATCCAATGAAAGCAAAGATGCTAATATATAAATTGAACAATAATCTGGCTATTTAGTGATAGTTCCACAGTTGTGGTCTTGACCGGTCTTGAAATAAAATTCCGAGTCCTCAATGTCCGAGACCGAGACAAGGCCGAGTACAAATGTGGTTGAGTCCGAGACAAAATCAAGACTTTCAAAAAGTGGACCAAGACTGGTCTCAAGTACTGCAACACTAAGGGAAGTGTCCTGATGCATCTCAGTAATCCAGRTAAAAAATCAAAAAGAAATAAATTGTATAGGTCTTCTGGACGGGTTCTTCTCTAATGAAAGGTTTCGTCTCTCCTCCAAGAGACTTCTTCAGTCTGAGAGTTTCAGGCAAAATTCAGGCTTTTAAGCCCTGCCTCCATGTGACTGATACTCACATCACATGGCTATCGTTGACACCTAATTAACACCTATTGTTAACAGGGGGTGGAGTGATACTGGCAATAGCAGCACTGTAGGAGGAGAGATGAACGTTGGTTTGAGAGACGAGTAAAAGAAGCCATTTTTGTGAAGAAAGACCGTCCATCATTAAACAGAGGTGGAGGCCTCCGTTTTCAGTTGTCCCCCTCCTACAGTGCTGCTATTGCCAGTATCACTCCTCCCCTGTTAACAATAGGTGTTAATTAGGTGTCAACGATAGCCATGTGATGTGAGTATCAGTCACATGGAGGCAGGGCTTAAAAGCCTGAATTTTGCCTGAAACTCTCAGACTGAAGAAGTCTCTTGGAGRAGAGACGAAACGTTTCATTAGAGAAGAACCCGTCCAGAAGACCTATACAATATTTTTCTTTTTGACTAAAGGAAGCGTTAGCAGCGTTAGCACGGCTAGCAGCATTAGCAGCGTTAGCAGCGTTAGCACGGGTAGCAGCATTAACAGTTGCTTTCTACATGATGACATCATAACAAGAGTTGGGCACCAGCAGCAAAGACTGTGTTCCATTCCAAAATTATTAAATGTAAACTTCAACATTTAAAATTTAACTTTTACATTTAGATTYACACATTGTTGAACATTTAAGTGTAACATTTAGAAAAATAATCTGTAAAATGTAAGAACAGTGAGCTATAAAACAATAAAATGTAACTCTGAAAGGTAGTTAAATAATGAAAATGTCTTAGTAACGTTTTATTTTACACTTGGCACCCCATGTGATCATATAAGAGCTGGATGAATTTCATTTAGACTCTCAGAATTTATACTTGACTGAACATCTACTGAGTATTTTTTGGAGTTAACTAAAATCAAGATGGATGTCACATGTAATAAAACTATCATTCACACAAATTACACCAAGCTAAAAATTTGGTGTGGTAGCTCACAGTTAATATTTCAATCTATCGTGATTGATTATTTTCAAGGTTTGACATAACTAACTATAACTTCATCATTTCTCACTATATGATAAATTTAGTCTAAAGCTGGCAAGAAAGGCATTTCTTTGCAGAATGGTTGAACTTTTATTCTAAACATGAAAAACAAGACAAACAAATCAGCAAGAATCTGAAAAAAAGAAGGTTTTGTTTGCTTTCTGTCGGGTCCTGCTGTGTTATTTTTTTGTGTGTTTGTTTTGTTTTTTGGAAATGATTAGTGTGGACTTGGCAGTGAAAAGCCTTACACAATAGTATCAGTGGGGCGACTCTCCAGCACAGGAACCACAGCAGATCCATAACGCCTGCTGATGTAAAGAAAAGCACAGGAAGAGGAATTTGTCCAGAACTTCAGTTGCGGCAGCAGCGGGTCACCATTTCCTCTGAGTTCAGGCGGCGGGGGGCCACGAATACCAACATCACCTCCGGAGAAAACACAAAACTCAAATGAGAGCAAAGAAACAATTAAAGCAGCATGTGTCGCTCTTAGAGATGAAGTCCAAATGTTTCCTYTCCTTGAATTTATTTGTGAATTATCCTAAAAACAACAACAGCCTTGCTGATAAGTCAGAAGTTACAGCCAAACAGAAAAGTATCTACTGCCAAAACTTAATAATAAAAGTTAAAAAAACTGAAAGAGATGTCCAGTAAAATGCAGGGTGAGAAGGCACGGATAACCACACAGGAACACAACGAGCATTACATATATTCTGCAATTTGTCCAGTTCTTTACCCTGAAACTAAACAAAGCAACCAGAGTTCACCTACCAGAGAGCTGTTGAGACAAATGAAAAAGGAGACTCAGAGCAGCAGAAGTCAGTCTATCTGTGGCTCTAAATAAATTATTATCTCTCAAGCACTTTCTGCTACGTTATTGGAAATCGTTGTAAACTAAAGTAAAAAAAAAACAACATATTTTGGCCCTCCTCTCCTCTGTGTGACCCGTTTCTCCTCTGCTCAGGTCCAGACAGAGTGTGAGTGTCTCAAAGTAGGCGTCACCTGTTCTGTTTCGAGCCCTTTCCTCCTTCTGTACGCCACAGCCTTCCTGTACTTTCTAGACTTCTTTTTGCTTTGTCTTTGTAACAAATGAGCTCTCTGTCGTAACAACCACTCCTCATCGTTTCTGCACTTCCTCTATTCTCTGTCCAGGGCTCTGCATCCATTCTCCGACGCTCTCACAACAATGCAACACGCTCATTTCTGGACGTTTGTGCATGTTTTTGTCGTACTGTTCATAAACAGAGATAAAATGCAATGTTTTTTTTTTTTTTTTTTTTTTTTTTTTTAAAAAAAA